GATGTAATCTGGCAGACTCAGCCTGCTGCTAAGCCTTCCTTGGGTGGTTTCCTGTATTGAGGCAAGAAAGTCGGGAAAACGAGCAATGAAGTAAAGGCCTGTGTCTCCTTTTTCCTGTCTGCTTCGTTTCCAAAGACAGAAACAAAACAACAACAAGAGCAGAATGTTCTGTTTGCCTACTGTTTAAATTACATAAATAAACAATAAATAAAAGAGCAAGATTCTCGTGCTTCTGTGATAAATGCCGTGGATTTCTTCCTGTGGTTCACAGTGGTTCATTGTGAATCTGAGGGGCATGGTTTCCAAAAGCACACTCTCATTTAGATCCTCAAAAGGTCAGAGTATTGCTCCTATTTCTGAACAGGTAAGTCTGAGGGCAGGGCTTTATAGCAGTCAGGCTATTTCTTTAACACCTTTAATAGGAAAAAGAATTTACACTTTTCCCTTCAGTCATTCTTGGGGAACCCACCCATTTAAGAGAGCATTTATCTCCATGCAACAGCACCAGTGGTTGATTTTATATGTCAGCCTAATGGGGCTGAGAAATTCCAGATAGCTGGTAAACCTTATAGTTGGGTGTGTCTTTGAGGGTGTTTCCGGATCACAGTAGTATATGATTCAGTAGGTTAAGAAATTCCACCTTCCAATGTGGGTGGACATCATCCAGTCATTTGAGTTCCAAAGGGGTGTTTGCTCTCTCTCTTTTTTTTTTTTTTGAGCTGAGGCATTCATTTCCTCTGCCCTCAGAAACCCACATTCCTAATTTTTAGGTCTCTGAACTTGGATTTGAACTTACATGATTGGCACTCCTCCCACCCCCCACCCCCCACATCCCACCACTACCCAATTCCCAAGCCTTTGGACTTGGGCTGAATCACACCACTGGTTTTCTTCATTTTCCCAGCTAGCATAAAGCAGATCTTGGGCCCTCTCAGCCTTCATAATTTCATAAGCCAATTTTCACAATCTCTCTTTTACTAGTTCTATTTCTTTGAAGAACCCTGGCTAATGCAACCACTTAGATATTGAATATCACCAATAGATTTTTCCCTCCAAGAAAAACAACTAAAACATTAAAATTTTCCAATTTTGAGAAGTCTGAGAACATTAAACCACACAAATTTATCCTTAATTAAAAACCACTTAAAAAAAATCTGGCGTCCCATGGAAGTGATGGCCAGCAAAACTCTTAACTTGGGCCAGTAAAGACAAACTGCTCAAGAAAACTCTTTGAGTCCCTTATAATGCTCACATCAAAAAGCCTCCACTGGGTGTTCAAGGCATCCAAGATGAAACAGCAGGAGCAGAGCCTGCAGTCCATATGGGCTCTCTTCAGGCCTGAGATCCAAATTCTGTCCTTAGGACCTAAAAGATTCTCATTCACTGAAGTACAGAAAAAACAATGTCAGAAAATACAGGAGAAAGAAATGTGGAGAGGTGTTTAAAGGAGAAGAAAGAAAGAAAAGTAAAAGAAAACAGCAAATAAGAAAAGCCAGGAGAGAAGACTTTGTTCTCAGGTAAGTTCTGGAGGAGCCGCTATCCAACGAGGCATTTCCAAGAGATGGCAACTCAGCCGAGAGTTCTGTTCACTAGTTTGATGTAAAACAGCATCCAGCTCATTGATACTAGAACTGAGGATGGGAGTTCTTAAGGAGCCGTCACTGAAACCCTGATGAGGCATATGAAAGAAGAAACATTCTCCTTTGCTAGGCACATACAGCCACTGACCAGCCAACATCAGCACCGACCATGCTTGATGCCCACAGCTACAGCTCATCAGTCCTAACAGCCCCATGGTCCACAAGTGATTGCCTGTTCTGATTTCCATACCAATGACCCTCCTGAGTGACCACAGTCCCTCTCCACTTGACTCCAGACAATACCACCATTAGCCGGTGATGAAGCCTGCAGCCTGCTCCCCTCTCGCTGATGCTTCCAGCTTCATTCTGTGGCTCAAGGCTCGAAAGACTGAGTCTTGGGCTCCTTCCATATATATTATCAGATGATTTATCCTTCATTCTTTCTTGCAGAAACAGAAAGGTTGCAGAAAAACGGGCTTCTACCCATCTGTACACCTCAAAATATCACCCTTGAAAATGAGAACCCTAACAAATTTTATGGAATCATTTTTCCATTCATCGGGCATCCACAGATGATACCAATTGACCATTTTCCCTTTGAAGAAATGTATTTACTCCTCAGATTTTTGAATCCTTAGCATCATTTAGAACTCAGATGAACAAGGCTTCTTTTCAGCTCTAAGATGACAGGATTCATTGGGTCTGTGGTGACAAAAGGTATCTTCTGTTCCAGACTTTCAACATGTGAAGCCAGCAGTATACCCATCATCCTGACCAGTCTTCTTGCTTTGGACCTCAGTTCCTCCTTACATTAGCATTTTAGCCCTTGACATCCACAGGCTGAACATATCATTATCCTGACCAAAATTCCCAAAGGCTGCTAATTAGGAAAACAAAAATTATTTATGCCTGCACAATCAGTTAAAAAATGAAAACTAATCAAAATTAGGTTCTAAAAGAGTGTGTGTGTGTGTGTGTGTGTGTGTGTGTGCGCGCGCGCGCACGCATGCACGCACATTATAATTAGCTTTACCAAACTTTGGTTTTAGCCAAATACACAATCCTGTAAACATGGTTTCCAAACTTTATATGATTATTTCTGATATTCCTCATATTAAAAAAATGTGCTCCTCTCAAACAGAAATCTGATGTATTCACGAAGGTCCAGGTGAAGTCATTTCACAAGACTTCAAAGTTACACATATCACTAAATCTCCATCTCCTCAACCAATTACATGAAATCATTCAGCTACCCTGATTGTGCAGCCATTATGCCTAAGTGAGGGCACTGACTTTTTAGCCTCTCTCAGGCATCGTAAAATCATATGTATTAATTAAGCTCCTTGATATAGTTATTATATACTGACATTACAACCACGCAGAGTGTCTAAGACAGATGTGGAGTCTAGTATTTGTGGTTTGTTTCAAACTTGTTGGAGGAGCATCTGCTAATATAATTACCCATACAAACATATTGGAAGGTAAAAGAAGTCATCACTAAAACTATTCACCACAAAAGGCTGATTTGGGATCACAGTCTACGTGCCCTACCTCCTACAGGGTCATCCACTCTGCCACAGAGAGCTCACGAGGCAGTGTTTGAAGTGATGGGACATGAAGGGTTACATTTATAGGCATCATTTCCAGCAAAATTGCAAAGATGCAGAGTTTTCACTTAGCCAGGTAAATCTGGCCTTCACTGTGCCTCTGGCATCAAGGGAAAAAATTAACCAACTGTCGAATAAAATTCAATAACCCAGTGGATTAAATGACTAATACTCTGTGTCCTGAGCTGCTCAGCCCTCATCTCTGTTAACTGAGCCTTCTTGGACCAGATGCACTGTGGCCTGACTCCAGGAACAGAATTGTGCATTCTGCTCAAAGGCTAGCCAGGCTGCTCAAGAGGGAAAAAAAGGACTAATTGTAAATCTTTTCTATTTTTAGGCGTAATGTGCATTTTATTTGGCAGTAAGGGCACTATGAATAAAACTCCAATCCTAAGATGTTCATTTGCTTCCTCCAAAATGCTCACATCAGTAGAGACCTTGGGAAATTGCTTATACCATTCCTCTGCCTTCAGAGAAAACCCCCAAGTTTGATGCATGCTCAGACAGATTAAACCCTGGAATATCCTCTCAACTCATGCAGCCAGTACTTCTTTCAATATAGATAATTTCTAAGATGTGACTCCTCTAAGGGAATCCTCAGTATGACTTCACTGAATAATACCATTTATCCTGTTTTCCCTTTAAGTTTCATGGCTATAGTCTCTCTCATATTTGCCTATGCATATATTGTTTCTTTTAGTTTTAATTTAATTATATCTGCCATTGCTAACCTTATATCTGAGAATGCAAGCTCCCTAAAAGCAGGTGTTATTTGCTTTTTTTTGGTGCATATGTAGTACATAGTACCTTGAATACAGTATGACATTTATGGGGCACATGCATGTGCACACAAATGTAATAAATAGCATAACCACATCTTGTGCTATCTTAAGAAGTGGAGTTCTTCCCACTAAGTGAAGAAAATTCCTGAGGTCACTGGGTTCTGAGAAATACTACCTGTGCACATTATTGTTGTTCTCTGGTCATTTCTCTCACTTGTTTTAGCAAACCCTCAGCGCCCTTCTTTGCATTTGTGCTTCCCTGTAAGATTCTGAGCAAAGCTATGAATCCTTTACCATGAAAATTGATCACCTACCCATATATATAAAATAGTCTCCAATTCCAGGGAGGAGGCCAGTGGCTCCTGACAACCTTAGAGATCTGCTATAGTTTAGATGAAAAAAATGTTGCCCAAAGGTCCACGTGTTAAAGGGTGTATCCCCCAGGCAGGACTACCGGGAGGTGCTGGGGATATATATAGGAGGTGGAGCCTAATAGGAGATCCTTAGGTCATCATGAGGATGCTCATGAAGGGGACTGTGGAACCTTGGCCACAACTCATGCTTTCTTTCTTTACCTCCCGGCAGATGAGATAAGAGATTTTGTTCTGTCACACCCCCTGCAGTAAGGTGCTACCTTGCTGGAAGCCCAAAGCATGGGGACACCCAACTAGAACCTCCAAACTAGAACCTCAAAAACTGTGAGTCAAAATAAACTTTTTTTTCTTTTTAAGTTGATTATCTCAGTAATCTGTTACTATGACAGAAAGCTGACTAACACAGCATCCAAGTGAAGAACTGCTTCTCCAGTGTTTTGTCTAGAGTCTAACCTGTATTCTTCATGCTGTTTGAGATGTTCACTTGAGTTAAGCAAGAAACCCAACATCCTCTTTGCTTCCCCCATATCTCACTGGCACAAAGTTCAGGCTACTGCACAGAACAGAAGCAGTCATCCAGATAAAATACAGAGGTGATTATCTAGCTTTTCCCTGGAGATCTGGGCACCAGAGTCTCAAGAAAGTCACGGTGCTCACCTTTTGGTCTTGACTGTATGCCAGAATCCAGTCTTCTTGCTTTGGGTGGAAAAGCAAGCTCTGGATGTAAAAGTTCAGCCGGTACTTTTGATACGTTGCCCCTTCATCTGAGCTGATCAATAAACTGCTCTCAATCTCCGGGTCTGTGAGTAACATAATCTGCAGGAAGAATGGTGGGGAAAAGAGAAAAACAGAGAGGTTATAAACTTATAAAACTCGAAAATGAGCTAAAATTTTGACAAGGGAAAGATAAGAGGCAGGTAGAGAATTCTTGGCCAAAGATCTTCACTCTGCCACGTTTATGCTGCTATTGTGGATCAATGCCATCGAACCGTGAGAAATGAAAGGGGCAGTGGAAATAGGTAAGGAAGGGAAAGAAAGGAAGGACTGCATTTTCTTCCATAGGATTCCTTATTTTTTTTTCTTTTCCTCTAGTTACTCCTTCCCCTGCAATATTTCCTATGACTTCCTTAATGCCAGTGCTTCTTCATCTGGCCCCTTAATTGCTCCATTTGGCACAGTAAATGAGCAAATGGTTACTGTCTGTTGTGGGAACTGAGAACACAGAAACCCTATTGTTGTCTTCTTTTTTCTTTCCTATCCCATACACCTTCATTCCACTTCCACAGTGTCCTTGTCATCCAACCCTCAACCTGATTTTCTGAGCCTTGAGTCAAAATCTGGCCTCATGAAACCTTTCTCTTGGAATAATACCTAGGTTATATTTATTACATTCTAACCTCCTATATAAGTTATTTGTTATTTTCTTTTTCATCTCTATACCTTCTGCTAGAACACAAGATCCATGAGAATAGAGAGATTGGTCTTTTTTTTTTTTTTGGTCTGTGGGCAAAAATGTGAATGAAATTTCCATGAAAGCATATTTGCACTTGGTTGCCCTTCACAATTTTTAGCCCAGGGGCTATAAATATGCACAATTCACAGCTTCAGATATTTTGCACTCACTGGGATCCTCAATCTAGGCTGGAGCATTGCGAATAGTCCACAGTAGAGCAAGATGAACGAGGTGCCCTGAAAACAGCTTTTATGCCTCTAGGGATATATGATAAAGTACCTCCCTCACCACCCTCTGTGGGTCTCCTTTCACTCAGTCGAAGGGCATACCTAATATCTCCAGAGACAGGGCCTTAATGCTACACATGGACTTCTTCCCCATCAGCTTATTAATTGACACTCTCCGAGTTTGGTTGAGAGAAGCAAGAAAGATGTGCTTAATGTGCGGCTCTATGAAGAGAAATCACTGCAGCCCAGGGTTTAAAGATTACCAGCCAAGGATGCGGCAGTTTCAGGAAAAGGGAGAGAGGAGACAGAGTGAGAACAGAGCCATGACATGAAACAGCAGGCTGCCCGGCAGACACATACAGGTTTCTCAAGGATTCAGAGGCAATCATCTTAAAACCTAAGAAGAGTTTGTATGATCTTTGAAAATGGTGTGTTTCTTACTACAAATGGCATGAAGTTTGCATTCCAGGCACATTGTGCCTAAACTCTAGGTTATTCAGGATAAGCTTAAAGTTTCTTGCTATTCTTCCAACTTCTTCTTGAAGAAGACAAAAGGGATGTACTAAGGTAAGGAGAAGGTGGTAACTGTCAGCCATACTCCAGACAAAACAGGAAGCATGCAAAGCCGGAGTCTAATCCCCTCTCATATTCAGTGAAGCCACTGCCTGTCAACCATAAATTCTCACAGTTACAGGTTTATGTGTCTCACACTCACCAAGTAGACTGCTTCCCTCACTGGATGGTTGACAAGAGCCATCAGGTAATCTTCTAAGTACAAACTCACATCGCTTCATTAAACACCAGTGCATGCATTAAACAAGACTATTTAGATGGCTCCTAAATTTACAGAGACATTTCCAGGTGATTTCACATTTATTGGCACATAAAAGCTGTCATTCTTCAAAAAACAAATAAGTCATCAAATGATCATATTGCCTTGTATGACTAACCACAATTAACACTAATTTATAATAGCCTTTTGCACTACTGCCAAAAAGTAATTTTCATGATAATATGAAGCAGCTCAATTTAACAGAGTATCTATTGTCTCAGGCAAAGTAATGATTTTCCCCTTGATTTCCTAGTTATCTGTTAACCAGAAATATGTTTTCCTCTCTTCTTCACCACCTGCTTCACTTGACAACTTCATAAAAATAAAATAATTAAAGCTAGACCTATAGCATACACCCAGTCAAGCTGATTATTATTTATCCTCTATTTTAAATATTTTATATTCATCTATACTCTAAGGTACACAGACTGTGTAAGATACTTTGTATCTAGATAATTGTGATAGTGGTGAAATAATGCAAATATTTTCCAATATATGGATAAATCCCACCCTCTCTATATAGCACTCACATAAAACCCTCCATTTGTGAATCTGACATTCTGGAAATGACGAAAGAGGGCAGGAAATTTCTTCAAACCATATATATATATATGTGTGTGTATGTCAGTACAACGCAAACTTTCCAGTGGTCCTTCTTTCAAGTTTCTGCTCAAATCTACTCAAAACAAACAAGTAAATATGGATCCACTTTTGTGTGATCATTTCTTACTACACAAACAACTTGGTTGAGACTTCCAGTAGAATCCAAAACAAAAGAAAAATAAATGGTACATGAGCCTATCCAGCTAAACTACAAGTATTTTTCCTTCTTCTTCTTTAATCACATCTTTATGTCATATCACAGATAAGAGATCTTTATTCTGAGTTTTTTCATTGACCAAAATGATGTATATTCTTTTTCAACTGAATCATAAGTGCACACACATTGGCATGCCTACTGAGTATAAGGTATTCCAATTTCTTCATCTCAACCTTTAACCTAACTAGGCTATTATTGGTACAGGGGTTGGTATGTACTTAAATTCCCAATGAGTCCTGGTTTTGCTAGCTCAGGATGGCTCTCATCATGGTTTGGATACAGAGAATCCCCCCCACCCCCAAAGCTCCTGTTAATGCAGGAATATTCAGAGGTGAGATGATCAGATTGTGAGAGCCATAACCTAATCAGTCCATCCTAGTTTGAATGGACTGACTGGGTGGTGACTGTAGACAGGTGGGGCATGACTGGAGGAGGTGGGTCACTGGGGGCATGCCTGGAAGGTTTCCCCTGGGGCCCTTCCCCCTCTCTTCTCTGTCTCTGCTTCCTGGTCTCCCATGCTAAGGAGCTTTTCTCTAATGGGCCCTTCCCTGTTGATGCGCTACTTCATCTTGGGCCCAGATCAATGTAGTCAGTCATCTATGGACTAAGACCTCTGAAATCATGAGTCCCAAATAACTTTCCCTTTTCTATGTTTTTCTTATTGTATATTTTAGAGCAATGAAAAACTAATTATTACAGCTCTCTACTCTCTCTGGGCTGTTCATGTGACTTTGAATAAATGATGTTTTGTTGCATTTAATCTTCTGTATTCTGGAATATGATGAAAGTAACAGAATTTTAGTAGAACAAAGGAAAGGCATGAACCCAAGCTCTGCACATTCCCAAAGGGAGCTCCCTAAAAGGAGAGGTCTCTGTTGGCCAGGAAAAAGCTTATTCCATAGTAGGTCCATATATCATTGTAAATGAATAAAAGGATGAACAAGTAAAGGAGTGAATCCTTTCATCCCTGGCTTCTGCTGAATGCAGCCCAGGGACCCTGTAACACTGTGAGTCCAAGTTCTCTTGAACAAGTCTCCACTGTTTGACGTGGAAACGAGGTGGGTGAAGACAAGAGAAAGAGACTGCTTTTAACAGGAGTAATTATTCTCTGTCCAAATGAGCCCAGGAGTGGTAAGAAGCAGTTCACCTATGCCTTGCAGGGTGTGCAGATGCTGCACGGTCTGCATCTGCAGATGGATTGTTTTCCAAAGAAAGTCAATAAAGGCAACACAGCTCCTGCCACCCAACTCTAAGCGATCATTCATCATCCACTTCAGAAGGAGGAAGAAGCTTTATTTGCTTTTCCTCGAGGTGACAAATGAACACGAAATGCAATTTATAGATTTCAAATACGTCACTCCTCTCTTTCTTGGTAGTATTCCTTCTGACAGCTTAGTGTCGTCAAAAATTAAATGTGTCCTCACTCTCCAATTTGCTCTAGATTCAACATATGGCTGCATGATGTAATTCCACAAAGTGTTGGCAAGCAACTTTCTGATTCTTCCAGGTGCCTACTGTAGAACTTCTTCCCAGAGGGAATCATTTAGCTTTCCAGATTCCTTTTCTAGGAGTGGCATTCCCAGAATGCCATCATTTACCTGTTTAGATAAGGTGGAGTTAATATGGATCACTTCATCACCTCTGTGCCTATAAGCTTTCAACCATTTGTTTGGTCCTAATGCAAACAGTATTTATTTTTTGCATTGTTCTTTGTTTATTTGCTGATTTGTCTATTCCTTGTCATTTGTGGGCTGGAATAAAAGCAAAAGTAATGTCCTATTGCTGCAGATTTCTCTATGTGTCTGTCTTTCTCCCCTTTGCTCAAGACTCAACTCAGCTCCATTTGCCCATGTCACAGGTGCACAGTAAATGCTTTTCATGATGATAATGACAAGGACAAAGAGAAACTGCAACAGCAGCAGTTATCTGCCTGCTTTATTCAAAAAGTAATAGTTCTATCTACAAACAGAATAAGAGGCTATTTGCAAGCCTTTGGCCTCAAAATTAAAAACAAATTAGGCAAAATGTAATCAGAGCAAGGAAGTAATTTGCTGACCAATGTGGGCAGAAGAGTGCCTATTCCCAATGTGGGCTGAGCATTTATCCTTCCCAGACAAGCAGAGAGTGAGAGCAGTAAGAGCTTATCAATTGCCAATTGTTTGGAAGGAATTTACAAAGGATCCCAGAAGGAGCCATGGAAAGGAAAACACTGAAGTACAAAAAAATTAGTGAAAGCAGGAGAGACAGGTGATTCAAGGGAAAAAGTATCCATCAAGCACACATGGAGAGAAATGAGTCTGTGGGAAGATGGACACAATACAACCACTTGTCCTAAATCCCTTCCTACCAAACTCAGCGAAGCTCACCTAATGTACCATCTTTGTTCATTAACACGAAATAGTGTCATTCAATACTAAGAGACAGAACATTTGGGCAACAGACCATCTACTTGTGACCTGACAAGTGATTCAGTGAAATTGCTGG